GCTCGCGGAGCTGCAGTACTTGGGAGCCCGCGCGCACCCTGCTCGCTCTCGGCTCCGGTCTCGCCTACTCCTCTCCTTCCTTTTCCCTCTCTCCTTTGCCTTCTCTCCCTCCTTGTCTCCCAGATTTCCCTTACCGGGGCCGGTGGCTTCTCCCTCCGAGACGCATTGGCGGCAGCCCTGGGGACTCCAAGGGCCGGGCACGGCTCAGCTGCGCGCGGGCGGCATCAGAACTGGTCGGTGATTTAGGTAGTTTCCTGTTGTTGGGATCCACCTTTCTCTCGACAGCACGACACTGCCTTCATTACTTCAGTTGAAATCGTCTCCAGGTACCTGCGCGCGCGGGGGCCGGGCCGGGCGGGGCATCGAGGCCCTAGTCGTGCCAGGCCTGCGGTGACAACCTCGGCTTTCCCTGCGCAGGAACCTCCTGTCTTCCTCCTTAGAGCTTTGCCAGCCGCCAGGCCTCACCCATCCCCCCACACACCCACCTGGCCCGGAGCAGGTACAGTCAGGTTAGCGGCTCTTCCGCGGACGCCGGGGGCGTGGTAGGAATTCTGGGCCCCGAGCCATTCAAGGTCAGGGGCGCATGCTTCCAACCAGAGCCACCCCCATTCTTGGCTGCGCCTGGCCAGGGACCCCGCTATTCTCTTGCAAGGCTAGAAGCACACCCCAAACCGGGTTGTGAGCTTAGGAAAGGTCCCTTTGCTGGTGGAGACCCAAGCTGGACTAGAAAGGACTGGGTGGACAGGGTTGAGATCCCGGCCTTGTCACTTAACCCTTCTCTCTGCCCTCTGCTCCCAGGATCTGCCTCTCCGTCTGTCCCTCCTTTTCCCCTTGTCTTTTGTCTTTCCTCTTTTTATCCCTTCCTTATTTTTTTAAATTTTCTTTGCCCCTTCTTCCCTTTTATTTTTCTGCCATCTGCCATCTCTATCTGATTCTCTGTCTTGCCTCCTCTCCTTTCCAAATCATTCTTTGGGGGAGAGTCTGGGGGTTTCATTTTTCGAGGCTGCGCTTAAGTAGAGATTGAAGTCTGCCCAGAGAGGGCCCGCGTGGGGCGGCTGTCGAGGGCTGTGGGTTTGGGCCCAGCGTGGCGGCACAGACAAGGCCTCGGTTATGATCACGACCGGATGGCGGCGGCCTTGCGTTCCTTCTCCGCGGGTCGCTCACGCTAAGGGCTGACTGCAGACCTGATTAGGGGGCATCCTTGGCGTCTTTGTGTACCCACACTGAGGGCAGAGAGGCCTTCACCAGTCTAGCGAACCAGAGGCTGGGCCCCGGGGCCAAGGCCCAGGGAGGCTCGGTGGAACCCGGCTGCTTACTCCGAGACTTCCACCGAGCAGCGTCTTGCCGCCTTTCCCGGCTCGCCCTCCCCAGCTCCGCCATGAAGGCGGCTCAGCGAGGCAAAGCTTGACTGCCAGCTCACCAGTGGCTTCTATCAGGTTCAGGATATGTTAGACTCGGCACTCTCCTGTAGCTGGGGGGTGGAGTAAGGGACCCTTTCAAGGACAGTGTGTTTCAAATAAGTGAAAGGAATCCGATATTCCAGAGCCTTCCAGATACAAACTAGAATCCTTGCTCCAAGTTGTAGTCTACTGATGGAAGAATCTGACCATTCTGGTTGAAAACGGAAAATGAACCAACTCTTCCTCCCCCAGAAGCACATAAGTATGCATGCCTTCAGGAGCTGACTTCCCTTCTCTGCTTAGTCTGGGGCCTAGGAATTGTTTGTTATCTGAAAGGCCAGCACTGGAGGTTCTCCCTAACCCTTCTCTGCCGTTTTCTAGGCCCGAGTATTGTATTTACTTCTGAAGTCAGGATTCCAGAGAAGGAGCAGTTTGTAATTACATCCATCTATTATTTCTTTATGCATATGTAATCCTTTTCACTTCCAAAATAAAAGCAGACACGTAAGTCTGAATATTTTGACCCCACATCTCTGGGCTGAAAAGAGACAATATTTGGTTTTGAGAAAATATTCCCTTTCTAGGAACCAGTAATAACTGTATAACACTCAACGCTTGCTTATTATTTAGTAATGGTCCTGTTTGGCGGTGAGTCTATCTAAAGGAATGGCCTTTTTATTTTATATATATATATATATATATATATATATATATATA